CGCTGTGCGCGGCGGGCCGCGGCCCCTGGAGGTAGCGGTGTGCGCTGGCCGCCGCCGCCGTCTTTGTCCTGGTGGTCTCCCTCAGCTTCTGGGCCGCGCCCCTTCGGGACTGCAGCGGAGTCCCGAAGGCCGCTGGCGATCCGGGTCCTAGCCACGCCCGCGGCCAGGCGGGGCGACTGCGAGCTTTGCCATTGAAAGGCGGAGCGTGTCTTGTCGCCTTCTAGCTGCAGCTTTTGTGAATTGCCGCATGGAACCGTCCAAGGTGTTTGCCCACCCCGAAATGGAAGTAAATCTTTTCTATTCTAAACAGTCTACAATCTCACTAAGCATGCAAAGGAAAACATTAAGATATCTTTTTAGATTGGTAAGGTTTTTCAGTACCCAATGCTGGTGAGAAAGTGGAGAAATAAAAGCAAGCACTTTTATGCCCTGTGTGTTGGGAATAATCCGTTTTTTTCTAGAGGGCAGTTTGGCATTATAAATCAGAATTCAGGACGGCCGCGGTGGCTCACGCCTGTTATCCCAGCACTTTGGGAGGCCGAGGCGGGCGGATCACTTGAGATTGCGAGTTTGAAACCAGCTGGCAAACATGGTGAAACCACGTCTCTACTAAAAATAGAAAAAAAAAAATTGGACGGGCGTGGTGGCGGGTGCTTGTGCTCTCAGCTACTTGGGAGGCTGAGGCAGGAGAATCGCTTGAACCTGCGAGACGGAGGTTGCAGTGAGCTGAGATCACTGCCTGGGCGACAGAGACTCGAGTCAAACAATAATAATGCCAAACTGCCTTCTGGAACAAGGGATTATCCCCAACACACAGGGCAGAATAAGGACGCTTGTTTTATTTCTTCACACACTCGCCAGCACTGGGTATTGAAAAATCTTACCAATCTGAAATGGTGTCTTAATGCTTTTATACACATTATTGAGATTGAACATGTTTTCTGTTTATTAATTTTTGTTGTTGTTTACAACAGACTTTGACTTTGTGCCCAGGCTGGAGTGCAGTGGCCAGATCATAGCTCATTGCAGCCTCAAACTCCAGGGTTCAAGCGGTCCTCCTGCTTCAGCCCCCATAGTACTGAGACTACAGGCTTACGCCACCATGCCTAATCTTTTTTTCTTTTTCTTTGAGAGATGGGGGTCTTGCTGTGTTGCACAGGTTGGTCTTTAACTACTTTCCAGCCCCAAGCGATCCTCCCACCTCAGCCTCCAAAGTGCTGGAATTACAGGCATGAACCACTGCGCCCAGCCTGTTTATTAGTTATTATTTCTTTGGTAAAGCATCTGTCTTTTCTCCCTTATCTTACTGATATGTGTACCCTTTAATAGCTTTCTAAGAGGAATTCAAATTACTGATATTTAAACCTGTTACAAGTATTTCTCCCAGTTTGTTGTCTCTTTTGCCTTCATTATGGTATTGTTTGCCTTTGTGGTAGGATGTTTTGTTTTAATACTATGATTCCTTAAGCTGCTTGCTTACCTCCCCAGAGGTAGAGAAATTTGTTATAACTGCAATAGCCTCCCTGTAACAGTCTACTGACCCAGTCCCTTTATCTCAATTTAAAGTCTTCGCCTTCGCCCCTTCTCCCCTTGAAATCCTTTTGATTGTAACTAGCTAAACCTAGGATGCTGAGTCACTGAGATTTTTTGAGAGAAGATATCATTAGGTATTTTGGTCAACGTTGTCTGTGTTTACAAAATACAAGTTGCTCTAGCTTTTATGTGAAAGTTTCCCTGTAAAGAGAAAGGATTGTTCTATCTTTTATATTACAAAGAGAAGGAACTGACAGTTACCTATGGACCTTATTAAAGTTTGTATTTTATTTATTGTTTGCAAACACCATCTTCATATGTTCAAGGAAAAAAATAGGATGTGACACAGTTGAAATGCAGAGGAAATAACACATTAATCACTGTATAGTAGGACACATGCCATTAAAACAAAAAAAAAACTAGCTCTTGGCTTTACTGCCAAAAGTCTTCCTGGCCCAAACAGAGTCTCACAAATGGTTATTTATGTATAGATATATAAAAAGTGTCATTTAAATTTCACAACCTATTGAAATAATTCCTTTATTCTAACATTTATTTAGTCCCTACCATGGGTCAGAGACTTTGGAATTTGTACAAATGCTGCCTAAGAGAACAAGTAACTTTGCAAAGTTGCATTTGGGGGCTTCCCATTTGTTCCACCTGTGATGACTGTCTTGACTTTTTCTATGGCAACTACCAAAAATGTAGTCACTAAATTCTTACTCTTCTAGATCGGATAGTATAATCTAGCCAAACTTGAAAGGATTTTACTTAAGATCTAAGACCCTGATCTTCTGATTCCTTTGCTTCTACACAGTATCCTAACAATGACTTTTGGTTAGTGCATTTTGTTCCATGTATCACTGCTTCAGAGTTAATTTTTTTAAGCTCTATTCTTCTTTTCTAGGTTTTTTTTTTAATTGAATGTAAATGCCAATCAAGATACATTGAAATAAGGTAAGAAATTCAGAAAAAAAAAACAACTTTGGTTTGCACTTACATGTTTTATTCCACCATGATCATTGATTACATGAAAAAGAGGATCTTTAAATCAAAATCAAAGGCCAAATTATATTTTAAGAATACTCAGGGCGTAATGAAGTGTTGATAGACTAGGACCCAAAAAGCAGTGATAATGATTCAAATCCAGAAGACTTGGATGATACAATGGGCAATTTTGAATAAATCTTAAGTAATTTTGTACCACTATTTCCCCATCTCTAAAATGGGGATATTTTCTGGTTCCCTCTCTGCTAGGATATAACAGCTATTAAAATGTACTTTTCAGTACTACAGGGTCACCTCACCGTTTGTATGCTATTTTACTTCCTAAATCTGGAACTCTTTCAGTGAAGTTTTATTTATGTGGTCCACCCCCTGCTGGGCTTCTGTAGAAATTATGGAGTATTAGTTTATGTTTATATATTAGTATTGTTTTTAATTGTCCCATGTGTTATTTGCACTAGCAGCTGGAGGATAGAAAACATATTTGTATACCTGGAGTCTTGAACATGGGTAGGAAATAACTAATTATTGGTTGGTAAGTAAAACTTTGGATCTCATAAACATGGTAGAAGTGTAAATTATAGGATCAGGGTCTTAGATCTTAAGTAAAATCCTTTCAACGTTGACTAGATTGTACTATCCAATCTAGAAGAGTAAGAATTTAGTGACTACATAAGTCAAAACAGTCATCGTAGGTAGAATAAACAAGAAGCCTTCAAATGTAAGTTTGTAAAATTATTCGTTCTCTGAGGTAGCATTTGTAAAAATTCCAAATGTGGATAACACACGCTGCAATTATGAAGATTATTTTTGAGGAAGAAGGTCTGAGTTCAAATTTTGATGTTTATTATTTTTATGGCTGCAAAGCATAATGTATTTAAGACAACTTTGAGTTCTTTTGAATAAATACTGGTGTTCACAAGTAATATTTTGAGGGTCACTTATTAACTTTGCTTTGAGAACAAGCAAAGCCCCATCTCATTTTTCCTCTCTCAGTATGTGGTACTACCAGCCACTCATTTTGCTCACATCTGAAACTTAGAAGTTATCTAGAAAGCCTCCCTAGTTTTGAACAGCATATTCACTGAGTTCTGTTGTTTCTACTTTCTTAATCTGAAATTTCTACTTATCTCCCTTCACCTCACTAAAAGTCTCTTCTAGGCCATTTCATCATCCATTGCCTCCATTACTCCAGCAGCCCCCTAATTTGTCACAATGCCTCCAATCTTGCCCTCTTCCCATCCACAGAACACTCAGAGCAATATTTTTGCCACACAATTCTGTTGGGCATGTAAATTCTTTCAGTGGCCCTGCAAAATCTAAGCTTTTTAAGGAATGCCTTTGCTCTACAAATGTGACCTTTGGTTACCTTTTTAAACTACGTTCTTGTCACTCTCAAGCCATATTAAAGAATTCACAGTTGCCTGAATGCATATCCTGTCATCTCTAACCCTTTATACAACTGTATCTTCTGCCTTCTGACACACTTAAAGTGGTTATCCTCACTTTAACTGGCTTCCACTTGTTCTGTAAGATTTAGCTTTAATATCTCCTCTATAAGAACTTGCGTATAGTCACTAGCCCAAGGCTTGGCAAACACCATGGCCCATGAACTATGAGTGCTTTTTACATTTGTAAAGGATTGTAAAAATACGTATGCAATGGACGTCATTTGTGGTTCACAAAGCCTAAAACATTTACTCTTTAATCCTTCACAGAAACATTTACCAACCTTTGCACTAGATTTATATGCTTTGTAAGATAAGGTACTGTGCTTTATTCATTTAGTTAACTTCCAGGTAGGTGCCTGGCATTAAACCAATTTATCCAATCTTTAATTAAATGAATTTAATATTCTTAAATTCTGTCTTAGAAAATAAGACACTCAGGTGAAGCAGTTTATGAAAATTCAGATGAGTAGTGAATAACTTATCTGCTTTGGGGGAGAAAAACACAACAAATTAGATACTTGCAGGATTACGCTTTAATTAATTTGAATACAAGGCACAGGTTTCCAGGTGTACGTAAATACGTCTCCATTTTACGACTGCTTTTTGCTTCTTTTTTTTTTTTTTTGAGACGGAGTCTGGCTGCCCGGGCTGGAGTGCAGTGGCCGGATCTCAGCTCACTGCAAGCTCCGCCCCCCGGGTTTACGCCATTCTCCTGCCTCAGCCTCCCAAGTAGCTGGGACTACAGGCGCCCACCGCCTCGCCCGTCTAGTTTTTTGTATTTTTTTTAGTAGAGACGGGGTTTCACCGTGTTAGCCAGGATGGTCTCGATCTCCTGACCTCGTGATCCGCCCGTCTCGGCCTCCCAAAGTGCTGGGATTACAGGCTTGAGCCACCGCGCCCGGCCTGCTTTTTGCTTCTTTAATCTCTTAATCCTTTTGGAATGGGATAAGAGAGTATTTGAAATTTCTTATTAAAGCAATAACTTCCTTAATAGGGCTTTAGTCTTTTTGCTTTTTTTTTTTTTTTTGAGAGCCGATCATCTGAATTCCTAGTACTTGCAAGTACATTTTTTTTTTCCTTTCTGTCCACCTACCATTAGGTGGTTCCTAGATCCTGGCAAATTGTCTATGGTTAAATGATGCTTTTAATTTCTGTGTCAACACAGACCTTCTTTGTTGGTGTCTCCAAATTAGTATTCTCTTCCTCTATTATGTCATTACAGTCCCTTTTGGCTTTTGTTTCTTCCTCATGGAATAAATGTGGGTGCTCAATTCGTCCCCTACGTACAAAATGCTGAATCCGGGATTCCAATCCTTGGCATTTAGGACGGTCCATGAGGGGCTTATATGTGCGCATCTTCACTCCTTCTACAAAGGCACTGGTCTGCTTTATGACAGAGGGCTTAACATTTCCCCATTCTGTCATTCTATCCATCTTTGGTCCAATTCCACATGGTACTGCAACAGAGTCCAGTCCTTGTAGCATACTATACAACATGTGAGTTTTGACAGCATGATTAGCCCACAGTTGTTGTAGGTGGGTAATATTGAACTCCTGAGCCTCCTGGTCATAGATCCACTTGACATTTTCAAACTTACAGTCATATAAGACTAGAGGAAATTCTACAGCCATACTAGAGAAAAAGAAAAGAAAGTGTTTGAGAATACATAGCAGCCATCTAACAGTTCTTTAAAATCGAAGGGTTAGTTGCATTAAGGGAGCCGGGTAGGAGGTCACCGTTGATGTTAATATTGACTAATAGCTGAGAAAATATCTCACCATCCCTAACCTTGAACACCTTTATTACAATAATGAAAAATGCAACAAATCATAGACCAACCTGATCTATGTTAGGTAAATGTCAGTGCTAACAAGACATGGCTCCATCATACTGCTATAAAATTTTAAACAGCTGGTATTTTTTCCAAATTTGTTAATAGCATTGCAATTTTGTATAGTATGGGTAAAATTATTGGTATCTATCTCAGCCTGTTCTCAAAATAAAAGTCTTGACTATTCTTTCTTTCCTACCGTTTCAGAAATACGAAATTAGGAAAAATTTAGAAGTACAGTAGGATGACTACTCAGTAATATAAAACAAGCAAGATTTAATATGAATAGTTTGTTCATTTTAATTTTACCACATCCTAACAATAATACCTCAACATAAATTCAGAAACAACAAAGATGTAGAAATTAATGTCCTTTTACTTAAGGAGCCTGGTCAAAACACCTGTCTCTTTACTCATGGGATAGAACAATGAGAGGAAATTAGAATATACTGCTGTCTCTTACATGTTCATAACATTCTACAATTCAGATTAAAGCTTCATGAAGGCAGAATCAGTGACCATTATTTAGATAGTTATGGGGGAGAGGAGGATATGCTATTTTTTGTTTGGTTTTGTTTTGTTTTTGTTTTTGTTTTTGAGACAGTCTCCCTCTGTCACCCAGGCTGGGATGCAGTGGTCCAATCTCAGCTCAGTGCAACCTCCGCCTCCTGGCTTCAAGTTATTCTTTGCCTCAGCCTCCTGAGTAGCTGGGACTACAGCCACGCGCCATTTGTTTTTGTTTTTAACTCACCTATACTGAGGCTTCTGGGGATTTTTCTCTATATTCAGCAGCTCATCAATAATCTCTGGCTTCTCCATTCCTTGGCCAATCAGAAAGAGGATAGCCATCATACATCGGACTTGATGATAAAGGAATGCCTGGCCAGTCACTTCAAACTGACATAACTGGAAAGGTTCTTGCCATCTCCCCTCACCTGGGCTCTGGCCCACTAGCTGTACTTGAGCAGACAGAATAGTCCTCTGAAAATTAATCACACCATTGGCTACATCCATTTTACACAAGTTCCTGAAATCATGGGTGCCAACATACTTCTGAGCTGCATAATCCATGGCTACAATATCTAAATCAGCACGAGGGAAAAAATAGCGGTAAGTCCGCTCAAGACAGCTGAACCTAGCACTGAAGCTTGGTTCTACAGGGGCCCAGGCCAATATACGGATGTCTGGAGGGAGTACCCGATTGAGAATGTGGGTATAACGGATCTCTTCAGCAGTAGCATTTGCTTCCTCTTTTACATTAAAGTCCTCAGAATCCCTGCCCCTTGGAAATTGAGAGCGAAGGTCAAGTGAAATCACCTGTGGAGTTAGACAAAGATACTGGGTTTTAGAGACACAAATAATCTCAGTATTCAGTGTGTATACCTAGAATATCCTAGTATTGCTTGCTTTGAGAAACAGTGTATTGGCCCTTACCTGTCCAAAGGCACTAACTCCTTTGTCTGTTCTCCCACATCGGTGATAATTGGATGTCTGTCTGCTTTCTACTAGTCGAGTCTTAGTTAGAGCCTCAAACAGTTTCTCTTCAATAGTATTATTTGTGTTTTCCTGACTAGCAAAGCCCTGGTATCCCCAGCCCATATAGGCTATTCTTAGGGCTACATGTCTTCGGCCATGAGCACTGAAATCAAATGCACGCTTAGTTTTTCCAGCTCCTGATGAATTTTCTCTAATGTTTGAGTCTTCTTTATTTTTGGTCTGTTCCTTTCTAAGTCTTTGCACCTCTTGCTCCAGTTCTTGTACTCTTTTTAGGAGTTTTTCAGTCTGGTTTCTGTCTGTGTCATTATCAGCCATGATACAACAGCCCCAGGAGTAAAGGAATCATACAGGTCCGCCCTGTCTGAAAAGAGAGCAAAGGGATACAACAGTTTCAGTGCCAGTTCCTTTGATGATGTTCCAATGGTATATAAAATTTAATTTAACGCCCAAAGAATATACTTTTGCTTTTCCAGGGATACAAGCATTAGCTTTATTGTGAGTTGATCATCTGTAGATATTCTTTTCAATCCCTTCTGGCCAGTTCACAGAGGGAAAGAACTATTATTCAGCTGTCATTATTAAGGTTTCATTAAAGCAGTCAAAATTTAGGGAGAATGTCTATAGATTTCATTTCTCTATCTTCACTGAATTGATTGAGGACTGATGTTACAAATATTTTTTCTCTAAAACATTTCCATTTGATTTCTCATTGTATTCAATTCTCTAGTCATAAGATTTCTTTATATGGGCTACTTATGTCTGCTCTGGGTTTCTACTGCTTTCCATTATTTCAAATAAATGACTTGTATGTTCCATCATCTAATATTCGTTAGATGAATATTAGGTGGTGCAGTAGAAGCTAGCCTAACTGAAGAAGCTTACTGATGGTTGTATTTCACATTGGAAGTAGAAGCTAGAGACAAGATTTTCTCACTTTAAGCCTTTTTGATGAGAGAAAAAAAGGTAATTAAGCACACTGACCCCTTTTTAAAGCTGTATTAAATGCATATTAGATTTCCGTACCTCTAATAGTTTAAAAAGTCAGTCTGATGTAATGTAGATGTCAGTGTAGAAATTCCTGTTATATTTCAATAATCTGAGGACAAGTATACTACATCCTTAAAATTGGGATGGTCCTAGACAATCTGTGACTGATGGTTACTTTAGTTAGAGAAGACCATCTCCACATCTGTTCTAAGGCTATATTATCTAAGTGTAGGTAGCTTAGTTTTTTACTCTGAGTTTCTAGATCTATAACAGATTAAAAGTTTAAATTGTAAAAAATGAAACTGAAAGTACTAGAAGAAAACATGGAATAACGTTTTTCTTAAATTCTGGAATAGGAAAGGCATTTCTAAGCAAAACAGTCTAGAAACCCAGAAACTGTAGAAAAACAAAAGATGTAACCTAAAAGTAAAAATTTCTCCCAGCAAAAAATAAAGTCAAAAGGCAAAAAACAAACTGAGAAGAAAAAAATAAGTGATGGTGAAGTGCTATCTTCCTTAATGTGTAAGTATTTCATGAATATATAAATCAGTTTTAATGAAAAAGAAAAAAATCCAGCAACTTGAGAGATGGACAAAGACCAAGCATTTCAAACAAAAAGAAAAAAGCTTATAAAAATATTTGTTAAAATTTCTAAATGCTCAATTTTACTCAGCTGAAATAAATGCAAAAGGATATGAACTATTTTTCAAGGAAGTGACTGCAAAGACAAAGTTTGATAGTATACCACTTTGGAGAGGGAATAGAGAAACAAGCTCTGTTAATATATGGTCAGTACAGCTTCTTTGAAGGTAAACATTTTGGCAACAGCTCTCAAAATTGAATATATACATGCCTTTTGGCCCACATCTCCCATGTCTAGAAATTTAACCCATTCATATGCTTGCACAAATAGATAAAAACTTGCAAGATACTCGTTTTAGCATCAGTAAACCTATAAACCTAAATCACAACAGTAAGGGAATGGCTGAATAAATGTATGGTATATTCATACATTGGAATTCCGCACAACATAAAATGAAGAAGGTCGGCCTATGCTGATATATATAGCTGGATAACCAAGATTATCTTTAAGGTTCAGAAGAGTTGTGTAGTGTTCTCCTTTATGGTATAAAAAAATAAAAGTACATGTGAATATGGAAAATTTCTGGATAATCATAAGAAATTGCCTTTGAGAGTAAAAATTGGTGGGGGAGGGAACGTCCTTGCTTAAAATTATCATGTGCATGTATTAGTTTTTCGGTTTAAAAAGAAAAACAGTGGGGACGCAGGAAATAGTGGACAGTAGATACCTATCTCAGATCCAGTCAGGAAAATAGCATTGGGTATGTGGCTGATTGATGTGGGTACTAAGTTATTTCAGACACTAGAATAAACAGATTTAGCTGGCAACTGAAGATGCGTTAAAATTACTAAGACAGCTGGGCGCGGTGGCTCACGCATGTAATCCCAGCACTTTGGGAGGCCGAGGCGGGTGGGGTGCCTGAGGTCAGGCGTTTGAGACCAGCCTGGCTAACATGGTAAAACCCTATTTCTACTAAAAATTCAAAAATTAGCTGGGCATGGTGGCCCACGCCTGTAATACTCCCAGTTACGCCGGAGTCTTAGGCAGGAAAATCGCTTGAACCCGGGAGTGGAGGTTGCAGTGAGCCAAGATCATGCCACTGTGCTCTAGCTTAGGCGGCAGCAAGTCTTCATCTCAAAAAAAAAAAAAAAAAAATTACTAAAGCATAGAAATTATATGTATGCATATATATACACACATTATATGTGTGTGTGAGAACACAACACTGCTTTTATGATTTTTTTTTTTTTTTAGATCAAATCACTCTTTTATGGTTAAAAGCGGGGACTCAGTCTGAAGCCAAACTGCTTGAGTTAGAATTTCAGCTCCACTACTTACTAGCTGAGTAACCTTGGGCAAGTTATTTAACTTCTCTGTGCCTCATGTTATTCATCTGTGAAAAGCAGATAATCCCACAGCTGAAAATTACATGAATTAATAAATGTAAAGCACATAGGACAATGGCAGGCATATAAAATACTCCCTAAGTACCTGTTACACAGTGTACATTAAGCAGTATGCCCCATATCATGTAGTTTCAAGCTTTTCTTATGCCAGAACTATACTGTCCTGTTTTAGGACCTGAAGATGGCAAGACAGTAGAAAGCAGGAGTAAGAGTGGAAATGAAAGCAGGTAATAGATTACCTAGAACTGAGTTAAGGCCCCTCTAAACTGTTCTGATACTACCCTGTATTGAATTTATGATTGTCTTAGCCATTCTTTCTCCACTTGACTGCTATAAAATAGAAGGGAATGAGCAATTTATGAGCTGGGAATTTATTATCAGAAAACTGACCAATGTTATCTCTTGCAGAAGGTCCTACAGTGTAGGGGAAGCAATGGAAGAACTTCTACCTGATAGACAAATATGGGCTACTATGGATCCAGAAGAACGAATGTTGGCAGCTGCTACAGCTTTTACCCACATCTGTGCAGGGCAGGGTGAAGGAGATGTTAGGAGAGAAGCCCAATCTATCCAATATGATCCCTACAGTAAAGCTTCAATAGCCCCAGGAAAGCGACCTACTCTTCCTGTGCAACTACAGTACCCACATGCAGAAAGTAATGTCACTTCAGAAACAGTCTCTGAGGCCTCCCAAAGACTCCGAAAGCCAGTGATGAAGAGAAAGGTGCTGCGTAGAAAGCCAGATGGGGAAGTATTAGTAACAGATGAGTCAATTATCAGTGAATCAGAATCTGGTACAGAAAACGATCAGGGTCTCTGGGACTTAAGACAAAGGCTGATGAATGTGCAGTTCCAGGAAGACAAGGAATCTTCATTTGATATTTCACAAAAATTTAATCCACCACATGAATACCAAAGAATTTCTCAAGATCAGCTCATTTGCTCTCTACAAAGAGAAGGAATGGGCTCTCCAGCTTACGAACAAGACCTCATTGTTGCCAGCAGACCCAAGTCCTTTATTCTCCCAAAGCTGGACCAGTTAAGCCGAAACCGGGGCAAGACAGACCGGGTAGCCCGGTATTTTGAGTACAAACGGGACTGGGACTCAATACGTTTACCTGGCGAAGATCATAGGAAGGAATTACGCTGGGGTGTCCGAGAGCAGATGCTTTGTCGAGCAGAACCCCAATCCAAACCTCAGCACATATATGTCCCAAACAATTATCTAGTACCAACGGAGAAGAAAAGGTCTGCACTCCGTTGGGGTGTTCGTTGTGACCTTGCAAATGGTGTCATACCCAGGAAGCTTCCCTTCCCTCTTTCTCCTTCTTAAATCTTTTTAAACTTCTTTCACAGGATTGTTTGAGATAACCCAGCTCTTTATATCGTTCCTTTTAAATAGAAACAATTGTCTTGAAAAGCTCTTAGAAACATCTTACGGTAAGGACTTCACCTATCATTGGTCTTTCCTAGCTATATATCACATTGGTATCAGATAATACTTCCAAATTGCCACTCAAATCCAGCAGTTGCAAGATAAATCATCAGAAAGAACAACAGACCTGGTATTTCTATTTTGTCAAATTAGTAAGGGCCCTTTGTGTCCTGTAACCTTTTTTACCTATCATTGTGAGTTGCTGTACTTTAATGTGTGTTTTTTAAGTTGCTGGGCATTACACTTATCAATTAAAGTATTTTGGAAATTCATGAACTTGAACATTATTTAATGAAATACTTGCCTAAGATGATCTTGAACCTGGGCTATGATGAGAGCTCATAAGAAGGAACAAAAACTTGCCTTTTACACAGTCCTCAAGGATGGGAGAGGTTAACAACATAGCCCTCATTACTAAAGGTATACAACAAATCCAAGTAGTTTTATTTAAATAATGCCCCAAAACAGTACCATATAACATACAGGATTCAAACTTGTTTTATTTCAGAATTACTTCAAAAATATTTTGCCTGCCAGCTGTTTTTCTGGAATACCATGCTTTTTATAATTTGCCCGAGATTTTTGTAGGAATTATGCCTCACTTGGAAGACTATTCCTACTCCAGTAGAATTTCAAACTAGTAACATTTGGAATCAGATGCAAAATTAAATACCGGTATGAACCTACTTAGCCTGTGTGGGTGCAGATCAAAATATGAATTCTGTTCACCTTAAATTGTACTTTATCTGTTCCTGATATTTCTAACCCAACGGGGACCATCTAAAATCTAAAAGTTGTCAGTTTTAACACCAGAGGCCAGAAGAATGATGGCACAGTTTGCTTGTTCACAGAGAAAAAGCTCTAACATAAAGGTGAATGACCTTCCCTGTTACTATCTGCGAAAATCACTTTCCCTATAACATTTAAAGCCACATAATTCACATATTCACCCAGTTCTGTTTGTTAGGCATTTGTCAGGAAAAGAAGTAATCAACAACTCAGATGCATGTAGGATATACTCACCGCAAATAAGTAGAAACTGCAAACTGTCCACCAACAGTGGAATAGTAAATGTTTTTAAAGGTATTAGAATATTCAATAGTCATTGGGAATCTTGGGGAAAGTAATATGGGAAGGTGCAAATTAAGTGAAATATAAACACAGGATGATCTCAGTACACACAGGGAAAGATCAAAACCTAACTCCTGAGTAGTGGGATTAAAGGTAATTTGTATTTACACCTCAGCTTTCTATGAGGTCAAAAATTACAAGGTGATTTTAACATGCAAAACACTCCAATTACTTATTTGGATCTCAAAAGTCCATCCAGTATTACCAAAGTCTCCAAAGTTAACTAGTTCATCTCCCCTGCTAATTAAAGAACTAGGCCAGAGAGTGAGTCTAGTTGGTTATAAGGCAGATTTGTGGCAAAAACAGGACTTGGTACACTACAGTGCTTTTTCCAGCACACCTTATCCTTCTTCAGGGTGAAGTGCAGTAGTTCCCAAGCAGATGTTTAAGGTAACACCTTGGCCACGGCTGCCAAGTGACCACAAAGAGGGAATTCGTGTGTCCCCTAAGCACCAATTACAAACTAAAACAGCCATCCCCAGATGTTCCATACATTGGGCAGGACGCCGTGGCTCACGCCTGTCATCCCAACATTTTGAGAAGCCAAGACGGAGGATCGCTCGAGGCCGGGAGCTCGAGACCAACCTGGGCAACAGAGCGAGACCGTCTCTACAAAAAATTAAAAACTAGCCTGCCAAGATGGCGCGCGCCTGTAGTCCCAGCTAGTCGGAGGCTGAGGTGGAAGGATCGCTTGAGCTTAGGAGGTCGAGGCTGCAGTGAGCAGTGATCACGGCACTGCACTCTGCCTGGGGGACAGTCTCAAAAAAAAAAAAGAAAAGAAAAGAAAAGAAAAAAGGTCTAATCTCAGGAACCAGTGAGTTAACACAAATAGGATTCCTCTTGATAAACTTCGTATTAATCCAAAGGGAAGAAGAGGGAGTACTGTCCAAAGGATTAGCAGACACGCACTATGATCACTAGAAAGCAATCGTGCTCTGTGTGTAAGGCAATCCCCAAAATAATTTGAAAATTGCTGCCACAGCCTCCCACATAATCCTGGGTTCTCAACTTCTACTGTTTTATGAGCATCCAGTTCTAAGTGGGGCAGCAGAGCACTTTTGTACTTCACAGTACAAGGACCACTGAAGCTCCCGTCACAACGGAATTAAAGACGCCCCGACTGCGGCGAGTTTCCGCCGGGAGCTCCAGAAAGTACCAGGCACAAAAGAAAAATACATGGTCTTAAGCGATGTCTCATTTCCAGACACCAATGCTTTCCTGAAAAGACCAAAGTATGTGAAACAGGGCAAAAAGAAGACAACAGACAACCGTTCAGCAGTGTGTCCATTTGTCCCTTCCCCTGGGGAACCCAGAAAGTAACCCACCCCAAAAATCCCACACTTACTTTCCGGTAGCCGGCCGCGCAGCGTTTCCCAGACAGGAAGCTGTCGCTGTGCGTCTTCTGCGCAGGCGCCCGAGCCCTCATGGGAAGTGTAGTCCACGTTTGTGGGAAATGTAGTTCTGAGAACCGAGCTTGCTGCTAGAATCTACCTCAAGTTTTCTAGTCCAACTACCGTTTCTCCACCAACAAGGGAGAATCTGGGCCTGTGGCAGGACAGCAATAAAAGGAGGAATTCTAGTGCTACGCTAAACTAATAGCAAAAAAGGTAATTTTTCAAATGTCTGCTATCCTTATACGAAAACTAAAACATTGAAGATGCTGGCTCGATTTTGTACCTAGTTAAATGAGAAGAAAGTTACCATTGAGAGACGAAAACATTGACTATTAGAATTAAAAGCTGAAATGAATATGATAATCTCAAAACAAACGACTAGGTGCCCTGAGAGTGACCGCACAGAGCCGGGAGCGTTGCTTCAGCACCACGGAGAGATCATGACTGCAGTTTCGTGAGTTTTTGTATTTTCGCCCCCAATTCCAGAAATGCTGATCAGAATCTCAAAATTACAATTAGAAAACTGGGGGGCGAGGGAGAGGTGGAATTTGGTTCTTTCTTCCAAATTGAGCAGTCATAAAATCATTAGTACCAGGGATCCAGGGATCTATCCCGTATTATGCAAACGCATGTAGGACGTAGAGATTATACCGAGAGGAAATGTTTTTAACAAGAGACCACATTTCAAATAAAAGGTTTAAAAAGCCTATGTGAAACATCACAGGTATCTAGGGCAAGAACAGCAGTTAGAGCTTGAACAGCTCTGCTTCCTTTCCGCAACTGTGCCCCCGAGGTCATTCGTCATATCAAATTCATCAGATATTGTCTCCACTTTTCTAAGCAATTCGCTAACCTTTCTGACATCTTGTGATGCGAAGGCGGAAATTTCCAGGAAAATGGGCACCGGGCGTACAGCGCGGCGTGGGGTGCGGCGTTCCGCCGGGCGGAAGCGGGAACGGAGGCTGCCCCCTCCGCCCCCGGGTCCCTGCCCTTTCGTCCCGCTCTCTGACCTCCGCCACGCTCTCTGACCTCCGCCGCGCTCTCTGCCCTCCGCCCTGCGCCCCACCCCGCCCTCCAGCGCCTGCGCGCCGCACCGCGGTGGTCGCGGGCGCGGACGCGTGCCCCCCTGCGGAAGCCCATTGGCCAGCGGATAGAGCCAGCACCGCCTCGCGCCTGTGGTGGAAGCACGTGCTGGGGGCGGGAGCAGCGATCACAGCCATGGCGTCGTTACTGTGGGGAGGCGACGCAGGGGCGGCGGAGAGCCAGCGGCTGAACAGCCACGTAACCGCCACCGAGTCGGGGGGTGCACAGCCGCGGGGGTGGAGCTCCCACTCGCAGAGGGAGATCGGCCGGGAGGGGAGGGAGAGCCCGCGAGCGTTCGAAGCGGGGCGTCAGATGCTGGAGGGGAGATGCGGGAAGGGTTTGGAAGAGGGCCACAGAGGGAGACCCCGTCCCCACCCTCACGAGAGGCAAGACCTTTGGTTAGAAAGGGCAAAAATGACGACCCCTGGAAATCCAGGGTGGGAACGCAGCTCTGGTAGTCCCAGCTGGACCCCGAGTTTTCTACTCTGCCCATTTGCTCATTAAGCCTCAGCTTGCTTCCATCCATTTGCCAGCGCACTTTCCTAGCCCTTCTCCCCTTGTTGGTGCCATGAGCCCCAGGTACTGCCCAACTCTAAACTAGAGGCCTAGGAAAGAGAAACTTCATGTACAGGGAATACAGAAAATCTCCAATTTTAGGATAATTCATACAGGAAACCTAACTTCGAAAGCAATCTGCTGCTACCTAATATTGCAAAGGAAGCAATACCCGGGTGTCCTTCCCTGAATCCCTCCCAGCCCCTGTGGTAGGGAAGCACTGGGCTGCTTGAGGGCTTGCATCTTAATATTGGTTGAAATTTGTGTCTCTCAATAGTTTTCAAACCTCAGCCACCCCCGGAAGAACCTTCGGGGTGTCAAGAGTACTGCAGTCCGAAACATAGGTGAGTGCTGTTAGGGCAAAGCAGAGCAACCTTAGTGATTAAAAAGCATTGCTTTGCTTTCATCCCGTCCCTGCCAAGTGAGATACGGCGAGTTCTTCAGTGTGACATTCAACACTCTCCATTACCTCCCCAATCATTTCGTCCACTCCTCCATGAAATGACTCTTCTTGCCAGTAGACACTGAAGAGTCAGGAAGAAAAAATTGAATAGTCTGCTTTACATTTCTGCTCAGCATTTGTCTTTACTTGTATTGTTTCTCCTCCATCCTTTCCAGATGGTTCTATTAATAACATCAAAGAAGATGATGAAGATGATGTAGGTAGGAGATGAATTCATTTGCATGTATCTACTAGCATTCTGTTTCCATTTATAACTTTAATAGTGTGAGTGAATAATATAATCTCAATTGGAAAATGCCTGTCTTTGCTCCTGTTTTCTTATAGTGACTATCAGGAGACACACTAAATTAGGAAGAAGGTATATTTATTTATAGGAAGTTGAAATGGAATATGCAGGGATTGGTTTCAGAATTTCCAGCTGTCAAGGATTTGGTCTCATGGAGATGGCCATAGGCTACTTTGAAGTTAGAGGATAGTGAAGTAACAGAGCATAAGAAACTGAATCCTCATAAAGAACGGATTCTCAGTGCTATATCATTCTTTCTGGAACTTTCTTTTAGAGGAAAAATGAGCATAGGTGCAATTGCTTGGTATGCAACCACTGAAAGAGAAAGAACAACTTATTTGTTGTCATTCAGGAAGCTTGATGTCCTCTTTTTTATTTTTGCTTTTCTAGTGGATTTGGCAGCTAATTCACTCTTAAACAAGTTAATCCGTCAGTCCTTAGTAGAATCCAGTCACCGTGTGGAAGTTTTACAGAAGGATCCCAGCTCTCCACTTTACTCAGTAAAGACATTTGAAGAGCTGCGGCTGTGAGTATTTTTACTCTTTTAATATGGGAAAAATGCAGAAAAGCACAGAATAAACGAATCTGCTTATAATAAAAACCATCAGGATCTCCTCTTTGTTTTCTGATACTGCATATTTTGTTTTTGTTTTTTGAGACAGAGTCTCACTCTGTCGCCCAGGCTGGAGTTCAGTGACATGATCTCGGCTCACTGCACCTCCGCCTGACAGGTTCAAACGATTCTCCTGCCTCAGCCTCCCGAGTAGCTGGGACTACAGGCATGCACCACCATGCCTGGTTAATTTTTGTTTTAATATTCAGTATTAAAGTGAGATTTGCACATTTCCATGCAATCAAAATATAACTCAGACCGGGTGCAGTGGCTTATGCCTAAAATCCCAACACTTGGGAGGCTGAGGAGGGCGGATCACCCGAGGGTCAGGAGCTTGAGACCAGCCTGGCTGACATGGAGAAACCCCGTGTCTACTAAAAATACAAAAATTAGCCGATCATGGTGGCACGCACCTGTAGTCCCAGCTACTCAGGAAGCTGAGGCAGGAGAATCGCTTGAACCCAGGAGGCTGAGGTTGCAGCAAGCCGAGATCACACCACTGCACTCTAGCCTGGGTGACAGAGCGAGACGTCTCAAAAAAAAAAAAAAAAAAAAAAGAAGAAGAAAGGATGTTCTAAAGAAGAACATTAGGATACCCAAGTTGCCTGGCAAATTGAGAACATTTTTGATAGTTAAGATATTTTCATCCTGGGATAGAGAGCTAAGCTAAGCACTGCCAGATTGCCCCTCTCCGTATCAGAACCCAGATTCTAATGACCCGGACATCCTACTTCACCCACTGTAGATAAGTTATAAGCTTTTACTTTCCTGATTATATTTTGTTTCAAATGGTATTAAACTGAATAACTTTCACAAACGGGTTTGCATTCCTTAGGGATTTATCATTTGACGCTAAAAAATGTATTTTAACAGAAAGAAAAGCGCTGAAACCTACTTATGTAAAGGGTAAAAATCCAAAATCCTAGTTCCTAGACGTTTTCTAAGTGGTAGAAAGCCTACCCATGATTTAAGATGGGCTGCCAGCCCTCTACCAATTAAGCACACACAAATGTGCATGTCATTAAAAGTTCAAGTGTTCTAGTTCATTTGATTTATCCTCGTTTTGTCATTTTTCTTAAGACCCTCAGGAAAGCTGCATTTTGAAACATTGCCTCAGAAGGATAAAGTGATATTGTGTTTTCTACTCCTAGAAAGAACTAATCTAAGAATCACCTAAATAAAAATTTATCTTTTCTGAAAATTACTGTCAAAAATG